TGCTGCTGCTGCTGCTGCTGCTGCTGCTGCTGCTGCTGCTGCTGCTGCTGCTGCTGCTGCTGCTGGTGCGCGAGTGGATGTGCAGTTGTGTTTGGCTTTTCAGAGAGTTTGTTTTGCAAGTGGCGAAGAACTCGGTGATGCGGAGAGGCCAGAAGCCCGTGAGCGAGCGGCAGGTGCTGCTGCTGCTGCAGCGGGAGGAGCAGCAGCAGCAGCAGGTGCGGGCGCTGCGGCAGCAGCTGCTGCAGCAGCAGTTCCAGCAGCAGCTGCAGCAGGCGCAGCGAGCAGCAAACGGAGACTGGGACGAAGACTGCTGCAGCCCGCTGCAGGCCATGGACTTCGAGCAGCTCAAAATGGAAAACCAAACTCTCAACGAGAAGCTCGTGCTGCGCCAAGAGGAAGCAAAAAAGCTGCAAAGCCTCACCAAAAAGGCCGCGCAGGTGAGCAGCAGCAGCAGCAGCAGCAGCAGCAGCAGCAGCAGCAGCAGCAGCAGGGGGGCAGCTGCGCAGACGCCGGCCAGCTGGAGGAAACAGAGGCTTTCTACTCAGTTCAGATCCAGAGAGCTAGCCAACCGCCTCCACCCACATAGCCAGCTAGCCAGCTAGCTAGCTGGGGAAGAACTTGCAGGATTGTGGGAACGGATGGGGAGGCGCCAGTTCCTTTTCATTGTGCTGCATGAGCTGCTGCTCATTGCTCACTGCTGCTGCTGCACTGCTGCAGCGCACTTGGTTGCTGCTGCTGCTGCTGCCGCTGCTGCTGCTGCTGCTGCTGCTGCTGGGCTGCTGCTTCGGATTCGTTTGCTGCTGCTGGTGCGTGTGCTGCGGGCAGCTGATAACGCACTGGCGGGAGAAGCTGGCGTTTGAGGAGCGGCGGAACGCAGCAGCAGCAGCAGAGCTGCAGCAGCTGGAGCAGCAGCTAGCCAGCGAGCGGCAGCTAGCTGCGCTGCTGCAGCGCGAAAGGGCTGGCTGCCGGCTAGCCAACGAGCGGCTGAAGTCCAGGGCCGAGTTGGTCAACTCCGAGCTGCTGGCAGCAGACTGGGAGGCCACGCAGGAGAAGCTCCGCGACACCAAGGCCCAGGTCCAAACCCTAAACCCTAAACCCTAAACCCTAAACCCTAAACCCTAAACCCTCGGCGGGGGCGAGGGAGTCGGGTCCTTCGACGCGCGCAGAGAGCGCCTGGGCTTATCTCGGCTTCAGTTGCGCCTTCGGTCCTCCGAAAGCTGCAGCAGTGCAGAACTCTCAAGCTCCCGCTGCTGCTGCTGCTGCTGCTGCTGCTGCTGCTGCTGCTGCTGCTGCTGCTGCTGCTGCTGCTGCTGCGCAGATCGCGGCGCTGCGGGAGCGGTACGCGCAGCTGACTTCGTTTGTGGCGGACTCCGTTCGGCAGCGAGACCGGCGGAAGTCGCGGCTGACTGCAGCAGCTTCGAAGCTGCTGCTGCGGCATTTAAATAGCACAGAAACTTCTTTTCTGCAAACTCAAGAAAGCTCCGAAAGTTCAGAAGTGACGGCGGCCGCTGCTGGCCAGTGCTGAGGGCGCGCCGCGGGGTGTACAGACACCCCGCGCGCCCGCGCGCACTCCGCCGGAAAGCGAAACGAATCCCGAAAATAAATTGTGAATTAGTTCTTTATTTTTGCATTTCTGAACTATTTTTGCAAAATGAAATGGACTTGCGCGAGCGGAACTCTTTTTGTTCAAGTTTTGCAGCTCGAAAGCTGCAGTTCAAGTCCGAACTTGAACTTGAACTCGACAGCACTTCCCGGCGGAAGCTGCTGCTCGAAGGCGCAGCAGCTGATCTTCTTTCTTTTTTTGATCTTCTTTCTTTTTTGATCTTCTTTCTTTTTTGATCTTCTTTCTTTTTTTGAATTAAAAAAGAATTAAAAAAAAGACAAGTGAGCAGCAGCCCAGAAACTCCGCAGTTGAACATCTTTTCGAGCAGGATCGCCGCAGCTGGAGAGCTCTTCGCTGCAGCTTTGCTTGTCAGTTCAAAAGGACTTTTGCTGCAGTTTTTTGAGGAAAGCAGCAATTAATTCCACTTAAATATATTAATTCCACTTAATTATATTTATTAAACTTCATTATTTGTTTTAGCAGCAATTAATTCCACTTAATTATATTTATTAAACTTCATTATTTGTTTTAGCAGCAATTAATTCCACTTAATTATATTAATTCCACTTCATTATTTGTTTTAGCAGCAATTAATTCCACTTAATTATATTTATTAAACTTCATTTTTTGTTTTAGCAGCAATTAATTCCACTTAATTATATTAATTCCATTCAATTATTTGTTTAAAAGTCTTTTTCTCTTCATCTGTGAAGGCCAAAGATCTACCAGCACTCGCTTTGTCTTCAAATATAAATGGATAAAACCAAAAGGCCTTTTCTTGCAGTCTGGCCTTTGCGGCTGCGCAGTTCCAAATTGTCTAAGCAACTCGACACAGCAGCAGCAGCAGCAGCAGCAGCAGCAGCAGCAGCAGCGGCAGCAGCAGCAGCAGCAGCAGCAGTGCGAGATAAATGCGAATTGAACAAATGGAATTATATTTCAGTTTTGAATTCTTATGGTGAAAATTCAAGCTGCTGTGACGGAAGGCTGGGCGAAGGGCAAAATGCAATTTGAATTGTTTTGGTTTAAAAGGACTTTTGAATTAAAAAATAATTAATTTGCAAAATAAATTTAATTGTTTTAAAAGGACTTTTGAATTTGAAATAATTAATTTGCAAAATAAATTTAATTGTTTTAAAAGGACTTTTGAATTAAAAACAATTAATTTGCAAAAGTGTTTTATTTGTTTGGGAAGGGCGGAGTCAAGAAGGGCGAGACAGCAGCGGGCGGCGCCAAAAGCTGAATTTGCAAACGAGGGCGGATTTGAACGGAAAAAGGCGAAATAAAAGCGAATTGAGATTTTATTTTTGAAAATAAAAGCAAAAATGAATTAAAAATAAAACAAAAATGATTAAAAGTCTTTTAATTGCGTCGGAAGGCAGTTTGCCGCCGGCGGCTCTTTCTTTGCAAACTGCAGTGACACTCCAGTGGTCAGCAGCCGCAGCAGCCCGCGCAGCAGGAACCGCAGCTGATCTGCGCCAAACCGAGAAGATCTGAAGTTAAGTTTGGGAAATTAAATCGAATTAAAGTAATTTTGAGATTTTATTTCGAAAAAAAGCGGAAAGGAGCTTTTAATTCGGCAGATCGCGGCCGAATCGTCGCTGCCGACTTGAACGCGCGGCCGCCGGCCGCACTCGCTGCCGCAGGCCGATCTTCTTTCCAATGCAATTCAAGTTCAGTTTTGAATTCTTTTGAAACTTCAAAACGCTTTTAAAGCTGTGGATCAGCCACTATGTTCAAGTTTCCCCGCCCAGTTCGCAGACAGCCCAGCTGGTAAGCCGCCGCCGCGGGAACTCAGAATGGCTGGCGGGGCACAGCGCCTGGCCCCGAAGCGGCGCCTCGCCTTCGGAGTTTTCTTTTTCTTTTTCGCAATTCGAGGTGAGAAAATAAACTGACAAAAGTAAACAAAACCGAATAAAAGGAGGGCTCCCGGGTGTACAGCCACCTGCCGCATCGACGGCCGCCGCGCAGCTCGGCCGCGCCTTCACTTCTGTCTTTCTTCCCCTTGCGGGCTTCGCCCCAGCCACTTAGCTCTGAGGGGCCCTGGAGGCTGTCTTGCACGAATTTGCTGCTGCTGCTGCTGCTGCTGCTGCTAATCGCGGCAGTTTGCTGCTGCTGCAGCGGGGAACCTCCCCGACTCACTCGGCCGCCAGCAGCAGCTGCTCACACGGGCCCTGTGGGCCATTTTGCATGCAGGGTTTTCTCTTCTGTGTCCATTGCTGGCGTGTGTGTGCTGCTGCTCCCTCCCCCGGCTGTTTATCCGGGGAGCAGCAGCAGCAGCAGCAGCAGCAGCAGCAGCAGCAGCAGCAGCAGCAGTTCTCGCGTTTCCCTGTCTCTGGCTGAAATCTGCTTCTGTGTTTTGCTGCGCTGCTGCCTGTCCAGCGGGAGCTGCTGCTGCAGTGTCCCTGCACACCAAGGACCACCTGAAGTGGCCGTCTACTGCTGCAGCAGCTGCTGCTGCTGCTGCTGCTGCTGCTGCTGACCTTCCGGAGCTGCCGCCCTTTGGGTCTTCAAGTCTTTTCGAAGTCTTCCCCAAAAATGCCGCAGCTGCAGCCCCGGGGGCCCCCCTTGGGGGCCCTCAGTGGGGCCCCCCTGCCTTCGCTGACTTCGAGGGGCCCCAGCAGCTGCTAGCCCCCAGCAGCAGCAGCAGCAGCAGCAGCAGCAGCAGCAGCAGCAAGGGGGGCTGGGGCCTCTCTGCGCTGCAGCTGGGGGGCGAAGAGGGCAGCCAGGAAGCTGAGGGCGAAGCAGATTTGGCAAAGAGTGAAGAAGCAAAAAGTAAAGAGTCGGAAGCAGCAGCAGAAGAGGAGGCTGCGGAAGAAGGCAGCAGCAGCAGCAGCAGCAGCAGCAGCAGCAGCAGCAGCAGCGGCAGTCCGGAGGCAGCGGGCAGCAAAGAAGGTGCTGCGGAAGAAGGAAGCAAAACTGAAGAGAAAGCAGCAGAAGAAACTTCGGAACAAAAGGCAGCAGCAAAGTCGGAAGCTGCTGCTGCAGCAGAACCTGCTGCTGCTGCTTCTTCAGAAGCAGCAGCGTCTGCTGCAGCAGAACCTTCTGCTGCTGCTGCTTCTGAAGAAGCAGCAGCAGAAGAAGCTGAAAAAGAGGAAGCAGAAAAAGAAGAGGAGGCGGGAGAAGAGAAAGAAGAAAAAGCTGCTGAGGCAGCAGAGCCCTCAAGCGAGAAACCTGCTGCTGCTGCTGCTGCTGCTGCTGCTGCTGCTGCTGCTGCGCAGAAAGCTGAAGCTGCTGCGCCTGCTGGCGCTGCTGCAGCTGGCGGAAAAGCCCCTGCTGCTGAAGGCGAAGAGGAAGGCAGCAGCGCAGCAGCAGCAGCAAATGAAAAAACTGAAGAAGAAGCAGCAGCAGAAGAAGAGGGGGCTGAGGAAGCTGAAGGAGAGGGTGCTGCTGCTGCTGCTGCTGCTGCTGCTGGGGGGGAGGAAAAGGCAGAAGCAGCAAAGCCCGCAGAAGCAGCAGCAGCAAAGGAAGAAAAGCCTGAAGAGGCAGAGGAAGAGGAAACCCCTGCTGCAGCAGCAAAACCCGCGGAAGCTCAAAAGGAGCAGCAGCAGCAGCAGCAGCAGCAGCCTAGCGGAGAAGCAGCCGCGCAGCAGCAGCAGCCCGAGCGGGAGCAGCAGCCTGCAGCAGCGCAGCAAACAACAACAACAACAGCAGCAACAACAACAACAGCAGCAGAAGCAGCAACAGAAACAACAGCAGCAGAAGCAGCAACAACAACAGCAGCAGCAGCAGTGGAGGCAGCAGCACCGCCAACAACAGCAGCAGAAACAGCAGCAACAACAGCAGCAGCAGCAAAAACGCCGACAACAGAAGCAGCAGCGCCGCCTGCAACGTCAGAAGCAGCAGCAGCAGCACCAACAACAGCAGCAGCAGCAGCACCAACAACAGCAGCAGCAGCAGCGCAGCAGCCAGAAGGAGCTTTTTTGCCAGCAGCAGAAGGCAAGCTAGCAGGCGCAGAGGGAGTAACAAAGAAAGAGGGGCCCGAAGCAGCAGCAGCAGCAGCAGCAGCAGCAGCAGCAGCAGCAGCAGACCTCAAGGGAAAGTGCTACTCTGATTTGGCCCTGGAGGCCATTGAGAAGGAGCAGCAGCTAATTAAAAAAGCTGCTGAAAACGGTGAGCTGCAGCAGCAAGTTCACTGCAGCAGCAAGTTCACTGCAGCAGCAAGTTCACTGCAGCAGCAAGTTCACTGCAGCAGCAGCTGCTGCAGTGCCGCGATTAAGCCTTCATTTGTGGATCTCAGAGTTTAATTAATTAATTAATTAATTAATTAATTAATTAATTATATTATTTATTTTTATTTATTTAAATTCAAAAGTATTTGAATTTAATTTCGTATTTTGCTTCCTTGCATGCGCAGCAGTGTGTGCAGTCTGTCATTTAAATATTATTTCAAGCAGCAGCAGTTCCGTAAACAAATGCAGAAAAAGCTGCTGCTGCTGCTGCTGCTGCTGCTGTTCTGTTGGTTTTGCGTTAACTAATGCATGCGTATTTGTCTGCATGCATGCATTCATCTCTGCATGCATGCATGTATGCATGCATGCATGCATGCATGCATGTATGCATGCATGCATGTCTACATGCATGCATGCATGTAAACATGCATGCCTGCCTGCCTGCACGCGGCCAGCTGTGGAGGTGCGTTGCGTGCTGCGTGTGCGTCTGCTGCTGCTGCTGCTGCTGCTGCTGCTGCTGCTGCTGCTGCAGTGCACTTCCAAGAGGCGGAGCAGGCCTTCTGCGACGAAGTCTTTCGCCGCATCGAAGGCCCCTATTCTTTGGGCGAACTCTCCGCGCTGCTGCGCGCAGCAGATGTGGCCAATTCGCTGCACAGAAACTTCAGATACTGCAGAGCCACTGCGGTGAGCCAGCCCTTCCAGCTGTCTGTACACCCCAATTAGTGCCTTTTTGTCGCAATTCCCAGCTGTCTGTACACCCCAATTAGTGCCTTTTTGTCGCAATTCCCAGCTGTCTGTACACCCCATTTAGTGCCTTTTTGTCGCAATTCCCAGCTGTCTGTACACTCCGTTTATTCCTGTTTGCCTCAACTCTGAGGTGTCTGTACACCTCGTTTAGTGCCTTTTTGCCTCAACTCTGAGCTGTCTGTACACCCGGTGCTTCGCCGTTGGCCTGCACGCTGAGGTGTCTGTACACCCGGCGCAGGCGAGCGCCTGGAAGCCGTCACTTATTGGAGTCTGCGATTTGCTGTTTGCTGCTGCTGCTGCTGCTGCTGCTGCTGCTGCTGCGCAGAGCAGCAGCCCCCCGCGGGTCCGCGACGGGGACTCGATTTTGCATGCAGCAGTGGCAGCAAGAAAGCCCCAAGTGGCTGAAGTGCTGCTGCAGTACGGGGCCTTTCCCGAACTCCCCGCAATCCCCCAAAGGCCCCCGCAGCCCCCGCGCATGCAGCGGCCCCTCCACGGGCTCAACACCGCAGAGGTGCGCCCCCAGCAGCAGCAGCAGCAGCAGCAGCAGCAGCAGCAGCAGCAGCAGCAGCAGCAGCAGCAGCAGCAGCAGAGCCAGGAGTCAGCGGGTTTGGGGTGCGGTTGGGGTTTGGGGTTTGGGCGGAGGCTGGCGCTAGGGTTTAGGGTTTAGGGTTTGGGCTGCTGCTGCTGCAGGTGGTGAACGGGAAGCCGCTGCATGCAGCGGCGCTGCTGCAGACCCCCGACAGCGTAGCAGCAGCAGAACTGCTGCTGCAGTACGGAGCGCATGCAGACAGCCGCGAGGGTTTGGGGCGGACTCCGCTGATGGTTGCTGCGCTGCACCCCACAGCTCATTCCCACGAGTTCGTCAAGAAGCTGCTGCTCTTCGGGGCCTCCGTCCAGGCCACCGACCACGTGAGCTCCTGCTGCTGCTGCTGCTGCTGCTGCTGCTGCTGCTGCTGCTGCTGCTGCTGCTGCTGGTTGGTTGCCCGCTTTCGCGGGCAGCAGCTCGCCTTGTCGCTCCTTGCGGCGCCTTGCCGCGCCGCGCTCACCCTGCTGCTGCTGCTGCTGCTGCTGCTGCTTTGCTGCTGCTGCTGCAGGCGGGGCTGGGCGCGCTGCACTACGCAGCAGCAGCGGACAACTGGGCAGTGGTGGGGATCCTGCTGGACCACGGGGCGGACGCAGCAGCAGCAGACCTGCGGGGCAACACTGCGCTGCACTACGCAGCAGCCTTCAACGCAGCAGCAGCAGCAGCGCGGCTGCTGGAGAAAGCAGCAGCAGCTCTGAACGTGAACTGCCGCAACCGCCGCGGAGAAGCCCCGCTGCACCTTGCTGCTGCTCCCCGCGGCTTCCGCGCGGCCCCCAGGCCCCTCGCCCCCGCCCTCGCGCTGCAGCAGCTGCTGCAGCACCACGCCAACCCCCTCGCCCGCGACCGCCGCGGAAACACTCCGCTGCATGCAGCAGCAAAGGGCGGCTACGTCGAGATCCTCCGCCGCCTCCTCGCGGCCACCGGGGCCCCCGCGGAGGAGCCAAACGCCGTGCGCCTGCTGCTGCTGCTGCTGCTGCTGCTGCTGCTGCGCTGCTGCTGCTGCTGTTGCTGCGCTGCTGCTGCTGCTGGGTTGCTTTTTGTGTTTAGTTGCTGCGAGCAGCAGCAGCTGCGGAGTTGGCTGCGCTTCGGACTCTGCAAACTGCAAGTGCTGCGCTGCTGCTGCGCTGCTGCTGCGCTGCTGCTGCTGCAGGACGGACTCACCCCGCTGGCCCTGGCCGAAAAGGCCGGCGAAGGGCCCGGACTTGAAGAAGTCAAACAGTTTCTGCGGGTCTACGGCGAGAAAAGAAGTGGGTTCTCAGCGCCAGCTGCTGCTGCTGCTGCTGCTGCTGCTGCAGCAGCAGCAGCAGCAGCAGCGCGGCCAGTGTGCGGGCTCGCTGCTGCAGTCGGAGCTCCGATCCTCGCCTTTCGCGGCTTCCCAAGTCGGAGCCGGTCGCGAATTAGGGTTTGCAAAAGGGTTTAGGGTTTAGGGTTTGGAGAAGGCTGCGCTTTCCCCTCTGGCTGCTCTCTGCAGGCTGCGTGGAGCCGCCCATGGTGCGGCATTCAACTCGCATCTTCTCAGACACAGTTCTGGGCCCCTACATGCGCGTGGTGGGTGTCAGTTGTGTCAGTTGTTTCAATTTATTCTCCAAGTCCTTCAAATGGTCCTTTTTGCAGCAGTTCCGGGGATCTGCCTGGTTGCTGCGAAGTGCTTGAACTCTCTCGCTCTTCCTTTGTTTTTGCTTCCGTTTCCCGTTCTTCCCTGCCTTCCAAGTGCCTTCCACTCTGCACAGCTGCTGCTGCTGCTGCTGCTGCTGCTGCTGCTGCTGCTGCAGCAGCTTGGGTGTTCTTGAACTTTCTTGAATTGCGTGGCTTCTGCGGCTGTCGCGCTGCGCAGGGCGACTCGGTGACCTACAGCTGCAACCCCGGCTTCACCATGCTGGGCCATCCGAAAGTGACTTGTCAAGAACGCGACGGGAAAATGGAATTTGTGCCTTCGGCGCCGCTGTGCGTTCTGCACAGAGAGGTGTCGGGCGCTGCTGCTGCGTGGCGGCTGCCGCCAGCGGGCTTCTTGCTGGCGCTTTCTCTCTGTTTCGCCGCCTTCCTTTGATTTAAAAAGACAAAATGTGAAAACGAACAAGAATTGAGCCAAACACCCGCAGCAGCTCGGCCGAAACGCCGCAGCTCGAGGCACTCAATGCATTTTAGGGCGGAAACCGCCACCCCCACGTCTCAGCCTTCGTTTTATTTAGCGGCTTTCAGCTGAGAAAGCCGACCGCAAACAAACACTTTTAATTGCGAATTTTCTTCAAATGCATTTCAACAAGAAAAGCAAACCGCGGCGCAGAAAACAACGCCACAACAGCCGCCAGATTTGCTCCCTTGAAGTCTTTCACGTTTTTGCAACTTTTGCAACTTTTGCCTGTGCACGTACACTCTCACATAAGTGTTCATGTTTTTTGCAGAGTTTGCATTTATGCATGCGTTTACATAAATATATCATTCATATCCATTTATATTCATGTATATGCGTGCATGAATGGACTACATCTCTTGTTTGTCTGGCCGGCGCTGCTGCAAGCAGCAGAACACTGGAGTCCGCAGTTCATCGCTTTCCAGCTAATTTAGACTACTGGCATTTTCTCCTGCTGCTCTGAGCCAGCCTTAGAGGGTAAAGTGTTCAAAGAGAAGCAGCAGAAGTGGCTTTCTTCCTCAAGTTAGGAGATGCTCTGGGCGGGGGAAGTGGCACAAATGAAACTGGAAGCAACAGCAAAGCCCCAAGACGAAAGAAACGGCAGACGAAATGGCCTCTTTAGGTCTAAAAGAATCATAAATGAAGTTTTCTCCTTTTTGCTGTGGGAAATTAACTTGAAAAAGAGCTTTTTGGCGCCAAGAGGCTCCAAGTGGAACTCTGAATTGCGAAACTGACGCCGTTTGTTTCCCAGAAAGATGACTCCGCGTAGCTGCTGCAGCTTCGGGAAAGAAAACAAAATTTGAAGTTTAAAAAGCCTAAAAAGCTAATCAGCACTTTTCCTTTCCGGGGAGATTCATCTTGAGGCTCCTTTACCGGCTTTCCTCAAGTGCAAATGACACAAATTTAGATCAGCTCTAGATGAAATTCTTTTCATCTTTTGGAAGAATTAAAAGCTGACACAAACAGAATAAGTATTCCTTTTCACTTTGGGGAGAATCGAAAGCTGACACGAATCAAAAGGACTTTCCGTCAAGTGGAACTCTTCCTCTCGGCGAAACTTGAACAGCAAGGCATTTGGGCTGTTGCAGCAGAAGTGCGAAATGCAAGGACACAAAGCCGACTTGCAGGTCAAATTGTCGCAGATTTTAATTCTTTTTTGAATTTATTCAAAGATTTAGACAAACTAATTCTACAAGAGGGAAGGAAGCAATGTTCAAGATGCGCATCAATGCAAATCACTGTGTTTCCCTCAATTGCTGTTTCGCTGCGAGCTCCAAAGTTCAAGCTGCCGCTGCTGCTGCTGCTGCTGCTGCTCCTACACTCACCAGCAAAGCAGATCTTAACCTCTGCAGGTGAGCTTAAAAGCAAATATTAATTGAAGTGCAAACAGACGCAAAAGGCCCGCCTTTTCGGGAGGAGTTGTGAAGTGCGAAAACTGTTTTTGCTGTTCTGGCATACGGCTTGTCCTCTCGCTATGCCGCTGGATCTGACTGTTGCCCCCATACAAAACGCCACAAGAGCTTAGAGATTCAAAAAGGCTTTCCCACAGACACAGTTTGCTGCAGCAGCAGCAGCAGCAGCTTCGGACGCAGAGCAGTCGCCGGTGAACTTTTGCCGTTAAAGCCACACTCGATAAAATTGCATTACATCCTTCCTGTATTTATTCGCAAGGCTCTCTTTGCTTTTTCCTTCCTAATTTTGCCTCTTCATCTTTGCCTCGCGGTTTTGCCCTGTGGCCGCTCCCGCCCTGCAACGGCGCCGCGAGCATTGACGGTAAACTCACTTTTTTCTCCGCCCAAGTCTAAATTTGTGTTTTGTTCTTACTGCATCTTTACTTGGGCTGAGACACGAGAGTTTATCTGCACAGGAGTTTCGTTTCTGCGCGCCTGTTCGTGGCGCCGACGAAGGCAGCAGTCCGCGAAATGCGGGATATCGTGCAGAAAACTGGCGGCTGCGGAGGGCGAAGGAGGAAAGTTTTCTTCAACGCGTTAAATGAAGAGCCATTTCGACTGCTTGGCGGTGGAGACGGCTCGGAACTGAGCCGGCAGGCAAGGCTGCGCGCAGTGGGAAGGGAAAGCCGGAGTGCGATTTCAGGCTTTCCCGCGGAGGAAAATCCCTTGAAAGTTTGCAATCTGCATTTATTGCAAGTTGTTTCATTGTTGGCGCTTTGATCTCGAGAGGAAAGACGGCCGCTTGGCGTGAGACGCTGCTGCAGGCGAAACTTCCGTACATGCACAGGACGCAGGGGCCTGCTATTTGCCTCTAGGCGGAGTGGCAGTGATCGTTGAATAAAGAGAAAAGCGAGTCCTCGTTTGAACTTATTTTGCGTTTTCGTTGCGTTTCCAGAGCCCGATGGGGCCGTAATGGTATTTTAAAGTGGCGTTTCGCAGAGTTTCCGCCCGCCACCGCGGCCCCCCCCATGACTCAGCCCCTGAACGCTGCTGATCTGCAGCTGCTGAGGGCGCCGTTCAGCGATTTTCGGGGACTTTGGTAACAACTCGGCCAGCCGCCAGTGCCTCTCGGCCCGCTTGAAGCCGGCGGGCGAGAGGCGCCAGCAAAATGTCGCAGTTTCGGGACACCTTCACGAAGGACGAGCAGCGGGAGAACCTGCTCGACTACGACGACAACGCGTTCATGTTTTTCCTGTGCAGCGTCACAGTGTGCATTTTGATCCCCTGGAGCTTTTTTTTCCTGCGGAAGTGCCTCGCGGTGTCCAACGCCTACCGCCAGAAGTACCCCGAGAAGACTGCGGCGGGCTCCACTCTGCGCCACTGCCAGTGCAGCGCCTGCGTGGCCCAGCGCGCCGCACTCCGCAAGGAACTCTCGCTCTTCCGCACGCGCTTCCTCACGAAGGGGCGGCTCTCTGAGTTCGCGGCGCTGCTGCTGTGCTGGCTGGGCTTCGTGCTGATCTGCCGCAACCTGCAGGACGTGCAGAGCATCAAGACCTTCGACCCCTTCGAAATCCTCGACATCAGCCCCTCCGCCACGCAGCGCGAAATCAAGAAGGCTTACCGCCTCATGTCCCTCAAGTACCACCCCGACAAGAACGTGAACGACCCCACGCAGGGCGCCCGCTTCATCATGATCGCCAAGGCTTACCAGGCCCTCACGGACGAAGTGAGTTCTTTTATCAAAAATAAAGCCATTTCTTCAAGTTTTGGCCTTTTGAGAAGCCATTTCTTCGAGTTTTGGCCCTTTGCCTCGACTTGGCAGTGCATTCCGCCCGTGGCTGCCAACTGGCCGGTTCCAGCGGCTTCTTCGCCGTTTTGCTTCATTTTTTGTCCCAGGTGGCGAAAAAAAACTACGAGAAGTACGGAAACCCTGACGGGCCGGGCGGCATGAAGATTGGCGTCGGGCTTCCGCGCTTCCTGGTGGAGGAAACGAACCAGATTTTCGTTCTTTCTTTCTTCTTCCTCTTCCTTCTCGTCGTCCTGCCCATGATCTTCCTGTGTTACTACCAACGACAAAAGAAATACGCCCGTGGGTCCACGCACTGAGTGCTTTCGGCACGGCGCTTCCTGTGCAAGTTTTGCAGGTTTTCGCGGGGGTGTTCCTGCGGCGGTGTCGCCTGTACGCACAACTGCTGGTTGCTCCTTGCACTCCTCCACTTTGCAGCGTTCGCGGCTCTTAAGTTAATTCGAAAAGATTTAAATACTTTATTCCTTCAGAAGCCTCTTAAATTAATTCAAAAAGATTTAAACACTTTATTCCTTCAGAAGCCGCCGCGCCTGCGCCGGGGTGCTGCAGCGAACGGAGTCATGGTTGAAACCGTGCAGTTCCTCACCCACGTGATGACTGACGGCACGCGGCTGAAGAACCTGCCGGAGCTGATGGCTGCGAGCGGCGAAAGCCGGGCCATGAAGATAGAACGCGACGACGACAAAGACATGAAGCAAATTTGCGACGCCGTGGTGGAGGCCAAGAAGCGGATCTTCACAGTTCCAGTGATCGTCAGGTGGGTCTTCGCCGCTGCAGCTGCTGCAGCTGCTGCAGCTGCTGCAGCTGCTGCAGCTGCTGCAGCAGCGCGAAGCAGCGGCTCCGCCTCGGCTGTGTCTGCTGCGCGGCCGCAGGAACTGCTACCTCATCAACGCCCACATGCAGCGGCTGCACGAACTCATGAGCCCGCGGCTGAAGAAGGAGCTGCACCAACTGCTCAAGTAGGCTGCGGCCCTGGGGGCCCCCAGCGCGCTGGCTGCAGCAGATCGAAGCCCCGCGGCTTCCCGCGCACAGCCTGGCTCGCTGCATGCGTTGGCCCGCTGCTGCAGGGACTCGCTGCCGATCACGCAGTGCATGATGGAGATCTCCGTCCTCAGCGACTGGTACTTGACGGCGGACTCCGTCTTGGAGTTCCGGCGCTGTCTGATCCAGGCCATCAACGGGCGGACTCAGTCGCTCTTCCAAATTCCGCACTTCGACGAAGACGTCGTTCGCCACTGTCACCGGTGAGAGTTCGCTGCCGCAGCGCCTCTGCCGACACTTCGCCGCCACTTCTGCTTCCCACTCGCGCTGCTGCTGCTGCTGCTGCTGCTGCTGCTGCTGCTGCGAGCCTCCCCTCCTAGCCCGCGCTGCATGCGCCGCCAGCCACGTGCCGCTGCGCTGTGCAGCGGGAAGCACGTGATTCGCGAGCTGAGCGAGTTCCTGCGGCAAGAGGGCGAAGAGCGCAGAGGCACGCTGGACATGTCCAGGGAGCAGCAGGCCGACGTGCAGGCCTTCTGCGCCCACGTCCCCAGCGTAGACCTGCAGGCGGAAATTGTGGTGGACGACGAGGCAGAAATTGTGGTTGGAGACATCGCCACTTGCCGCATCACTCTCACGCGAAAAAACTTGAAGGTCGGCTTTCGCGGGGCAGCCGCTCGCTGCACAGACTCCTCACTTGCGGCTTCCTCGGCGCTGCAGCTCCCCTCCAGTGCTGCAGCTGCGAACGCCCTGAGTGTCCGCTGCGCTGCTTGCAGGAGGGCGAAGCTGCAGGAGCAGTGCATGCGCCGTACTTCCAGGAGCCCAAGTACGAGGAATGGTGGATTTTCTTGAAGGAGAAGGGCGACGGCGCCGCTGGAGGTACGCGAAAGATTAGGTGAACGAGTCTTAGATGCAGCTCGAGCTTCTTGCCCTGCTTCGCAGTGCCGTGCTTCTCTTCAGGCCGCCTTATCAACTTCTTGAAATCAAGAAACTTGGAAAGAGTGGTCAAGGAAAGCCTCCAGTTCAGGGTCGGGAGACCCGGAAAGAATGTGATGACTGTCGTGGCCTTGTGCGACTCCTACACGGGAGTCGACGCCACTATAGATGTGGAGTTCAGAGGTACGCCAGACCTATCAGGGCTTGGCTATTCAGCAGCTGCAGTATTTGCTAGGAGCTTGACTATTGCTCTTTTTATTAAACTTTGATGCCGCTGCAGCCTACACGCCCGAGGAGAAGCCACGTGAAGTTTTCGTGCACCCGGAAGATGTTAAGCTGGACGAGGAGCCAACTCTCTTCCAACAGATGCTGGGTGAGTAAGGTTGGCAGCAGTCCAGCAGCAGTTCCACAGTTGTTTGTTCTGAAGAGCAGCCTTAAGATAGCTGCATTGCAAAGATTTTTTCTCTTCGCAGGGGACATGTGCGTCAATTCGAGTGATGAAGAGGAGGAGTTCGACCTGGACGAAGCCCCGAAGGTTGTACGGAAGAAGGTGGCAACCGAGAATGACGGAGCAGCCACTGCAGAACAAGCGGATTCAAATACAGCAGGAGAATCCGGCGAACGGCCAACTACAACAGCGTAACAGAAGGAGACGGTAAGCTGCTGTTTTAAGCATACTATTTTTCCACTGCTGAATGTGACTTGCGTTGAAAGAAATCACCATATCGAGAATATCAGACAATTTGTGGAGCACGACATGCGATGCTTCTCAGGAAATAAAAATCCCAAAGGGTTCCTCCTCGTAGATCAATGGACCACTAAGTCTTTGACGAGCTCAGATGTATTTCTGGGGCCAGTGCCATCGATCTCGATGGTTATCTTTTTAGAATATGCAATAAACGAAATCCGTGTAGCGCGAATTTCGTTTAACATCCTCGTGCGAGGGTTGGCCGGTTGCAGTGCTGATGAATGGTAGCGGCGGCCAAGTAGGCCTTTCGTCGCTTCACAAGGTTACGCGCTGACGGAATACTTGACATTCGAAGCGTTACTTTGTGTTGCAAGACGCACTTTCAAGCCTGTAATCGGCATATGGGGCGTTGAAACCGTGAATCCACGTCAAATTTTGAAGGTATTCATGTTGTTGAGGCAACTGTTGTGCATTAAGTTTTCATTTCTACAGGGCTATTTTCTTCTCAGTTGCACTAGTATCTTCTACGTGTGCACTGAATTCGTAGTTTGTTTCTCCACATGCGTATGACTCTGTGCGGGAATGGGGAAACAGACGGTTTAGCTCTAAATTGTCTTTCAAAATCGTCGTAGCACAAACAACCATGAATTGCTGTCTAGGCGGGTCAGGCGGATGGTAAGTTGCTCTTGCCAAACGGCCTTATCTCGATGCTCCCACAGTCCAGTATGCTCCACATCTTGGAAGGGTCGGATGCAGCGCGGGCTGCCACGTAGGCCTCACAATCCCTAGCTACAGAGAGTCTTCGAGTGCACCGTGAGCACGGAAATGACATCAGCATACCAAGTTTAGTAGTGTTTGTCCCTGTGCATTGTTGCAACATCTTGCGAACTACAATGATCTCATCAAATGAGACACTGCCTTGTGTGAGAAGACGACGAAGATGGCAAATGCAGTAATGCACCTTCGGGAAAGGCATAAGCGTTCATTACGATTTGCTTGAGTGATCTAGCCATCAACTTACCAGCGTGTGGACTTGAAATTTGTCTGCGGCCATAAGAACCCTCATGCATCTGGTCCAGTTGAGCTCTGACGAGTCGGGTAACCTGCAGAGACCGTTCGGTTCGCACTTCAGGATGAACCGTACGGGTGGCTCTAATGCGTACCTATCCTCCTGTATCCACTCAATGAGTATGATGGCTACATCACTATCCATGTCCTCTAAAGCAATAAAGCTGGAGTTGGCCTCCTTGAAGCTTCCTGCTGTTTGAGTAAACAAAGGATTATCCTGGAGAGTCCATGCGGCTTACCAGAAAACATTCTTTCAAAGACCGGGGAGCGACACGAAAGGAGGGCTTTGCTGCAAAGAACTCCTTTTGAAGGCGTACGCATTCGGCACTGGTGTGCTTCGGAGTCAAGTGCCAACATACTTCGTGATCCCACTTGAACAACTACACGATCTGACCACAGATGGATCGGCTGAATTGAACGAAGCAGCAGGCGTGAGCCGTACCAGTTGCCTCCTTGAAGAATCTGAAGGGAGGCGTTGACATCGGCTTCGTGCTTCCCGTCGTGTCATACACTTACTTCCCGGACAAGTATTCAAACACGTCGCATTGCAGCGAACCAGGTGAAGCTCCCTTATTTGGCTCTGCGTCGATGTGGACAAGACGGCGGAGAAATCGCATCTCCACCTTCAGTACAAGGCGACTGCCAACCTAAGGACTCTATAGACATTTTTGAAGAGAGATACAAAAAAATGTGCTGACTCGAAGAATGTTGTGGTCCGTCCAGTTAAAGAAGAAACGCACGTAGCCGCGCTTTGCTCTGCAAATTCCGACTGTTTCGCACGACGAGATCTCTTTGTATTCATCTCGAGCATCCAGTAAGGTGAGCTTTGTAACGTCTGGTAGGTCTGTCACGGCCCGTGGAACTTGAATTTCAGATTTGGCGCCATGCTAATAGAAGAGCACTACCTTCGGTGCCTGTGTTCGCTCATGAAGACGTTCACAAGACCTGCTTTCCAAACGCCACTACCTTCATTGGATATCGTAATTGTGAGTGCGTCCCAGTCCTCTCGATCCCCTAAGAAGGCTCTCCTTGCAACAGACAAAGAAAGGCTCCCAGCAGGAACAAGATTACCATTTGGACACAGCCTAAAGGAACAGATTTCACCATATGACTCTTTACGGTGGAGGCAAAAGCGTAGTCTAAATCACCACAGCTGGAGCTCGAGACCGGCTGCCTGGCCGAAAGAGCCCAAAAACAACACCGTTCCGTGTTCAAAAAACTCTACGTTTCTGTGCATTGCTGAGCATAATCTACTTCGTAGAGAAAACCATATCCACCTTCCGAGTCTTCCGGGCAGTCAGGAAGCGCCTTCTTCTTCGCTGAGACGAAGCTATGAGCACTCAGTAGCTGTGCGCACGAAGCCCAATGTTCTCTCGTACCGAGATCTCTCAGCAAGTCGAACTTTTCAATCGTGACCTTGTGCACGAGAAGCTGGAAAAGTGGCTCCACGACTCCTTCCGACATCAACACGTTCTTGCAATCCATGGTTTTGAATTTGCGCGAGAAGTAGTCGAATCGGCTCATGGAAATACATCATCGTCTAGCGAACGTAACATCCTTGTTGCTTTCAATGTCAGCGGTGTGCCGCTTCTTGACAACTGGCCTGCTGACAAACCGTGCGTCTGATAACGCCAAAAAATGAGCAACCCGCGCTTCTGAAGCACCCTAGACACCTGAAATGAAGGCACATCCCCAAGTCACCTTCAGATGTACAGACAGCTGAATGGGTGGCTACCCCACGAGATCATGGTCACTTTTATTTTTTTTTTGCAACTGCCGTACACGAAGCACATTCCTTGCACTTAGCGCTCTGTTTTCGAGAGGAACTCAAGATTTTCCATAACTTTCACTTCTGCAAGGACGTTTCCCAAGCTCGCCTGCATTCTTGTTTTCATGTTTTCTTTCAGTAAGCTATGTCTGGCAAATTATGCCGGATATACTGTGGATTTCTGCTACCTCCTTCCCATTTTCTTCTTTGGATGATCACTTTCTGTATCTGCATGAAAGCTACGAACAGAAACGCGATCTTCCAAAGACGCCCTATACCTTGGAAACCAGAGGTTTGCAGTACGTACATCCCTTGCTTTTCGTGTGAATGCTGGCCTCAGCAACCAGAAACAGTAATAATTCTTCCAGGCAGCGAGATGCAAAACAAGTATACCGTCAACTTACGTGCAATGCAACATTTCAGCGAAACACGAATTAACTTCAACGAATATTCAATACGGAAAGGATGTAAATTGAATATATGCAGTCTTTCAAGATGAGTTACCCAAAAAATCAGTGTGTACTACTGCACCTTCACGGTGCAGGCCGGCACTGTGAAGTACACTTTAGGATGAAATGCAGCTTCCAATGCTGGATCCGCAGACTCGAATCTGCGTAGAATAGCCAGCGGCAGGGGGATATCCTGTTCGGACTCATGCAGGTAGTCATTTAATTTCCTTGTGTATAGTGTGGCGCTTTAGGAATTTGTTGTATTTGCGGAGTTGAAGTGGTTCAGGCGTGTTCCTTCGGTTTTTGGTCGTTGTGTACCTTGATGGCGGTTTTCCCTCGGCTCGCGCTTCAGTGCATTCCAAAATCACAAAATTTCGTCGTTCTTTCTTCTTCATTTGAAGATCTGCTATAGACCCTGGAACAAGTTGTTTGTGGCGTCGCAATCCTACTTGTTCAGAGATCGCGAACTTGCTGCCGATCAGGTCGCATGATCCGCCAAAAAGCCCCCAAGAACGCGTGCGAGTGACGTCGAAGCCGTCTGTTGATGTGAGCTTCACTAAGAACAGTATAGCCAGGACGGGAAGAAGCTTTGGGCTGCGTCTCATCTCTGCAGAACTACATGGGAGGCGCAGAGGGGTCACGGACACTGGAGAGGCCGGAATCCTCTGCGTGTCTGTGTCTTTGAAGAACCATCTGGGCCTCAAAAAGAATTCCTCTTTGATTTCAGCCGAAATGCGCTGTCTGAGGGTCAAGCATGATTTCCTTTCAGCAGCGCTGGCCGCAGTAGCCTTGTCGGCTACCCGAGCTTGTACAGTAGGATGGCGGTTTGCCCCACATAAAAGAAAATATTTGTCTTGTGTTCGCAAGAAGAACAGTTTGCGAAATCTCTGCCGACTACACAGTGCCAATTGGGGGAATATTTGGCATCAAAGAAGTCTTTGATGTGTTTGGAGATGTCCTCCTCCTTCTCATACTTGGCAGTGGCAATGGCTCCCTGGGACAGTGCGTCCTGGTACAAGTCGGACTCCGGGTCGATATCGGTGACTGGAGCTATCGGCGCGGCCATTTTCGTGTCTATTTAAATTAGTAAAATGTATTCAAGTCCTTGAGTTAAGTTACTTTCACACAGTTCTCTTGCGCTGAACCCCGGAGCTTTGCTACCGGGTCCTTTTCAGGAATTGCAGCTTCTTGTTCGCCCACGTTCCGTTAAGCGCGAGATCTCTACAGCTTTTCTCAGAAGTGCGTTAAAAATATCCCAGGGGTGTAATCAGATTCTATTCTATGGTTCGATTGGAGCAGTTCTGTAGACATCGTGTTGTCCTGGGCGCTGCGCACCTCTGCAGCTGCTGCCAACTGCATCGTAATCTACTGCAGGAGAGCTAGTACAAGTAGGGCCCACATAGGTTTGAGTGGCTATGTGCGTTGGGCCTGAAGACCGGTTCGAAACCTTGAAATATCTTTTGTTTCGACTTTAGATGGCGGGTGTAAGCTTGTTTTTTGCAAATGAAATGGGCGTTTCCCGCTGGAAGGCGTGAGCGCATGTCTTCTCTTTTGTGCTGGCGTTCCTCCGGGGCTGTGGGTTTCCCCTGGATGGCGTCGGCGTAAATGGAGTTTTTTGACTTTTGGAGAGCATTTAGGGGATAAATTCGAGGCGATGCAGGCGGGCCGCGTCTCGGGGTTGGCGTTTGCTGCGGCGTCTTGCTGCAGCTGCTTCCCGGGGCCCCGGGGTCGCGTGGGAGCTGGCCGTGGCCCTCCCTCCGCTGCCCTGCGTCTGCTGTGCCTGTCCGCGGGCGGCGCTCACTGGCGCGTCCCGCCGCAGGCCCCCTTCGCCCCTCCTGCCCCGCCGTGCGGCCCGGCGCCGCCGTCGCTGGGGGCGCCTTTGCTGCGCGGGCTGCCGGCGCTGCTGCAGGGGCCGGGGAGGCGGCCGCCGTCGTGCGCGGGCGCGGAGGCTTTGGGGTGGTGGCGGCGGGAGAGCGTGCGGGGGAAGATGGTGAAGTCGTCGGCGTACCGGCGGCGAAGTCGGGCGTCGCCGACGGGCCAGGCGCAGAAGGCGCACTTGGGGCCGGTGCGGCTGGCGGGGGAGTACGTGGGCCCGGGGACGGTGCTGGTGCGGCAGCGGCGGTGGCTGGCGTGGGGCTTCGAGGGGAAGCGGCGGCGGCGGCACGTGAAGATGTACCCGGGGGAGAACGTGGGGGTGGCGAAGGACTCTTCGCTGGTGGCGCTGGTGCACGGGCGCGTGAAGTTCACGCGGGAGGAGTCGCTGCTGCTGCTGGAGCAGCAGCTGCAGCAGCTGCAGCAGCAGCCGCAGCAGCAGCAGCAGCTGCTGCAGCAGCGGCCGCTGCCGCGGATGCGCGTGAACGTGCTGCCCGAGCCGCGGGAGGAACTGCTCGCGGAGGACCTCTGGAGGTACCGCACGGAGGCCGTGGCCTCCCCCGAGGAAAACCGACTGCTCTGCAGCCTCCGCCAGAAGGGCCGCCAGCCCTTCGCCGCCCCCGCCCGCAATCCGCCCCGCAAGCCGCTGCCCAGGCCCAAAGCCCTCAGCAGGTTCGACCCCTGGCAGCCCAACACCCTTCCCGACGCGCCCCCGCTCTGCGAAGACAGGTGACCCCAACGGCAAGGGCTGCTGCTGCTGCTGCTGCTGCAAGTGCTGCTGCTGCAGTGCTGCTGCAGTGCTGCTGCTGCTGCAAGTGCTGCTGCTGCTGGGGGGGAGGTGGAGGCGGAGGGAGGGTGGGCTGCTTCGGACACTTTTTGAGGGCGTTTTGCTTTTTGCTTTTCATCTATTCTTTAATTTTTGGATTCGGGCTCTTCTCCCGCACAACAATGTACACTCCCCTGCCTGCTGCTGCTGCTGCTGCTGCTGCTGCTGGTGATGAGTGTGGGGATAGTTTGAGGATAGGAGCAAGTGGAGAAAGGAGAAATGGAATTGAAAGGAGAGAAGGGAGGGACCGTAGGCAAAAAACTGTAGATGATGAGCCAGAGGGTTTAGGGTTTAGGGTTTAGGGTTTGGGGTGCGAGGGACAGAGAGAGCGAGCTGAGTCTCTCTAAGCAAAGCCCAAGAGGCCTCAAACTGAGGAGCCAAGCCTCGACAGCTAGCCAGCTAGCTATTGAGTAATGACTGACGTGCTACTCGACTTGGTGCGGGGCGGGAAGTTGCAAAGGCCTTCGGGTGTACAGACAGCTCAACGGCCAGCAGAAAAGGAAGTGCAGAAGAAGACAAAAAGCTCCAAAACCCTCGAGAGGCCAACAGAAACAAAACATGAAGAAGCGCATGCATAGAGCTAGCGGCGCTGCATGCAGCAGCAGCTGCTGAAGGCACTTGGGAGAAACTGTTAAAGTTAGAAACGAAAATTAGTTTCTCGTTGCTTTACTTTCTAGCTGAAGTCGTCAGGGAGTTGTGCTGCAGCTAAAAGCACTAAGGCGGCGGGCAGCGCCAAGTGGAATAGAAGTGACTCTGGTGTTGCGGCAGTCAGTGTCTGAAGAGGTGCAAGAAGCTGGGGTGTACGTACACCCCAGCGCGAGTTGAATGCCGCGGCGGTAATTCCGAAAACTGCGGCGCCGAAAGAAAGCAGCATCGACGCCTTTGCGGGCGGAAGAGGCGCTTCTGGGCCCTTCTTTCGCGTTAATGAAGTAAAACTCCCTCATTTATCGCTTAATTCCCCTTTTAATTCTCCCAAAGGGGAAAGAAAACAGTGAATTCCAGACGCAGACCCGCGCTGCAGGCTGCCACGGCTGCGCCGGCTGCGCCGCGCGTATCTTCGTGTGTGTCCCATTAAATAGACTCTTCCAGCGAAAATAAATAAAAGTATTAAATTTAAATTCAAAAAAGCGGAAACGCCTTCAAAAGGAGGCGGGAAGCGCGAGGGGGGCCCCTGCTGGCCGATGCTGGTGGAGCCCGCGCTGCAGCTGTGCAAGTTGCTGCAGCTCTTGGCGCTAAAGCCTCACCAGCGAAAGCTGCAGCTCAAATTGAAGGCCCACGCAATTCCTTTGAAGCAAAAAAGTCTTTTTTGCTTTTGTTCTGTTCTGCTGCGCCTCCAGCGCTTCTCTTCGCGGGGCCCCTCAAGCGGCTTCTTTCGGCAGCAGCTTCGAGGCCGCGTTCTTCGCTGGCCGTTCGGGTGTACGTACACCTCGCCGCGCCGCCGCGCTGCCCCAGCGCCGCCTGTCGGGGGGCGCGCGAGCAGCAGCAGCAGCAACGGACCGACAGCAGCAGCAGCAGCAGCAGCAACATGCGGCTGGCTGCGGCTGTTAGATGCATGCATGGCCCAATGCCCGCTCGCGGGAGATGAGCAGCAGGCCCTACCACAGCCCCAGCACCTAGGGGTTTCATCTGACCAGCAGCAGCTGCTGCTGCTGCAGCTGCTCCCGCACCCACTGCAGCCGCTGCAGCAGCAGCAGCAGCAGCAGGGCCATGCTGGGCCGGCTCGTGGAGCTGCTGCTGCAGCGGCTGCTGCGCAGCTTCGGCCTAAACGCAGCAGCAGTGTCTGCCAGCGCCCGCGAGGGCCTGGTGGTCAAGGGCCTGGTTTGCTGCTGCAGCAGCCTCAGCTCCGTGCTGCTGCTGCACTCGCTGCTCATTGGGGAGATACGAATTGAGGCCTCCTGGAAGCAGCTGCTGCAGCTGCTGCTGCTGCAGCAGCAGGGGCTCCTGCAGGTGCACGTACACCGCGTCTATGCCCTCGTGGCCACGCAAAGCGACCTGCCCGCTGCGGGCCTCAAGGCGAAGCAGCAGCAGCAGCAGCAGCAGCAGCAGCAGCAGCAGCAGCAGCGGCAGGGCTTGCGCACGCGCTTGCATGGAGTTTTTTTCTCTCCCCTGTGGCGCGCCGTGGGGGCCCTCCTAGTCAGAGGCCCACACGCTTCCAGCAGCAGCAGCAGCAGCAGCAGCAGCAGCAGCAGCAGCGACAGCAGCAGCAAACCAGGGCGTCTTGGGCTTCAGCAGAAGCTGCTGCAGCGGATTCTGCTGCTGCTGTCTCGAAAGCTGTCAGTCCACATTGAAGATGTCCACTTGCGGCTGGAGGACGCAACGGGACGTGCGCGTTTTGCTGCTGCAGCAGCAGCTGCTGCAGATGCGCCGTGGGAGCAGCAGCAGCAGCAGCAGCAGCAGCAGCAGCAGAGGAGAAGCAGGAGAGCGTGCCAGCCACTGAGCTGCAGCATAGACGTGAGGCCAGTGCAGTGCGGGCTAATAGCTGCTTCCGTGTGTTTGACTCCCGGAGCAGCAGCAGCAGCAGCAGCAGCAGCAGCAGCAGAAGCAGCAGCAGCACCAGCAGCGCCAGCAGCAGCAGCAGCAGCCGCTGCAGCTGCGGGCCGCGGCCCCGGCGCTGCGCGGCTGCGGCGCCTCTCAGACCCCACACCTTTGAAAGCAGCAGCAGCAGCAGCAGCAGCAGCAGCAAGCCGAGCAGCAGAAGGACAGGCTGCTTCTGCGAGGTGTACGTACACCCCAAGCTGCGCAGACACCCCACAGCGCAGCGCCGTCTTGCGGCAGCAGTCCTTCCCCCCGCTGTGCAGCAGCCCGGGCCGCGCTGCTGCAGCAAACGGGGCTGCGCTGCCCACTGCAGCAGCAGCAACAGCAGCAGCAGCAGCAGCAGCAGCAGCAGGCGAGGAGGAGGAGGCAGCTACGTCGCAGACGGCAAGTGCTGCCGAGGCGGCGATAGCGGCAGCAGCAGCAGCGACAGAAGGTGCTGCAGCAGACGGCGCTGCAGCACCAGACAGTGCTGCTGCAGCAGACAGTGCTGCAGCAGCAGCAGCTAGCGCTGCAGCAGCAGCTCTGTGGCGTGGCTGCGATTACGAAGGGGCCGTGTCCCTAGGGGGAGAGGCCCTAGACAGCAGCAGCAGCAGCAGCAGCAGCAGCAGCACGTCACAATTACTACCGAGCGCCAAGGCGCAAGCAGACAAAAGCGCTGCTGCCAACCAGCAGCAGCAGCAGCAGCAGCAGCAGCAGCAGCAGCAGCAGGGGTTGGAAGGCGTCAGTGTTGTGCAGGCAGCAGGCGTTGCTGCTTACTGGAACTGCTGCTGCTGGAGGCTGACTTCGAGGCAGCAAGTGAACCCCAACTCGCCAGCCTTTGTTGCTGCCTTCCAGCAGCAGCAGCAGCAGCAGCAGCAGCAGCAGCAGCAGCAGCAGCAGCAGCAGCACGGGTGAGCTGTCAGCTAGACAAAAAGAAACGAACAGACAGCAGCAGACAAGGGGACTTGGGAGCAGCAAAAAGATAAAAATTAAAAGATGAAAGATAAGAAATAAAAGAAAGAAATATAAAAAAATAAAAATAAGAAATAAATAGAAATATAAAAAGATAAAAAGGAAATAAAAGAAAAGAAGCAAACGGACAAAAGAGCTGCCAGGCAGCAGCACGAGGGCCTTTAAAGAATTTCAAATTATCTCATTTATCAATTTTAGACAAAAGCTGCTGGCTAGCTGCTAGCTGCTGGCTAGCTGCTGGCTAGCTGCTGGCTAGCTGCTGGCTAGCTGCTAGCTAGCTGCTAGCTGCTGGCTAGCTGCTGGCTAGCTGCTAGCTGCTGGCTAGCTGCTGGCTAGCTGCTAGCTGCTGGCTGGCTGCTGGCTAGCTGCTGGCTAGCTGCTGGCTAGCTGCTGCGTCTGTGTTCGTTCAGGTTTCTTTTCCACTCAGTCACTTTCGGCCTTTCTTTTCGCTGGGCGCTTCGCGGCCTCGACGCAGCGCTTTGCTGCAGCAGCAGCAGCAGCAGCAGCAGCAGCGCGGATGCTGTGCTGCAAGGCCGGGAAGCAGCAGCAGCAACGGCAGCAGCAGCAGCGGCAGCAGCAGCAGCAGCAGCAGCAGCAGCGGCAAGCAGCACTTCGGCTGTCGACGGTGGAGGGAAGAGGGAAGCGGCGAAGACAGCCTCCCAGGTGTATGCCCAGCCGCAGCAGCAGCACCAAGCAGGGCAGCAGCAGCAGCAGCAGCAGCAGCAGCAGCAGCAGCAGCAGCACGCGCTGTCTCTACAAATCGATGCTGAGATGTCTCCGCTTTTGCTGCTGCTTCGGGAGGAGCAGCTGCTGGATGCTGCGACGCTGCTCTGCTGGGTGGCAGAAGTTCACCGGAAGCAGCAGCAGCAGCAGCAGCAGCAGCAGCAGCAGCAGCAGCAGCAGCAGCAGCAGCGACAGCACGCGGACGGTGCGGCGTTCTCGTCCGCTATACAGCGTCCGCGCGGATCAGCAGCAGCAGCAGAAGCAGCAGCAGCAGCAGCAGCAGCAGCAGCAGCAACAGCAACAGCAACAGGACAGCAACAGGAGCAAAGGAGGGGACTCTACCGCCTCGCCCGTCCTGGCTGCCGCCGCCTCTCTTTTCTCCCCCAAATGTGCTGCGGGACAGCAGCAGCAGCAGCAGCAGCAGCAGCAGCAGCAGGGCATCTGCTGTGGGTGAGGGGCTAAGCCCTGGGTCTGTCTGCAAACATTCTGCTGCGTCCCCTGCTGCTGCTGTTGCTGCTGCTGCTGCTGCTGCTCCTTCAGCCTTCCGCGTTTCTGTCGTTGCTGCTGCCTTTCGTTTGTCGGCCCCACAGATTGAGGTGTACGTACACCCCAGACACAGACAGGCTGACCTGCTGCTTTCTTTTAGAGGCTCATATTTGTCACTCAGCGTCCAGCAAGCAGCAGCAGCAGCAGCAGCAGCAGCAGCAGCAGCAGCAGCAGAAGCTCGTGCTGCTGCTGCTGGCGTTGCTGGAGGTGGCAAGAGGAGGTCCTCCCTGTTGTCCGTGGACGGTGTGCAGCAGCAGCAGCAGCTGGAGCAGCAGCAGCAGCAACAGCAGCAGCAGCAACAGCAGCAGCAGCAGCTGCTGCTGTCTGAGCTGTGCCTGTCTGTTGCTTCTGCTCGCGTTGAAGGCAGCGGCGCGGGGCGCTTCTCTATGGCTTGCGGGCTGCACACAGCCAGCAGCAGCAGCAGCAGCAGCAGCAGCAGCAGCAACAACAGCAGCAGCGCGAGCAATGGACTGGCTGCAGCAGCAAAGACGCCACCGACGAACGCAGCAGCAGCAACAGCAGCAATGGCAGGATCAAGAAGCAGGGCGAGTGATCCTCGGTCGCTTGGGGCTGGCTGCCCTGCCTCGCAGCTTGCTGCTGCTGCTGCTGCTGCTGCTGCTGCTGCTGCTGATCCTTCTCTTTCTGAGCCCTCTGAACATACTGCGTCTCTCTTCCCTGTTTCCGTCCCTCCCTCACCTGCTGCAGCTTTAGCGCAGCAGCAGCAGCAGCAGCAGCAGCAGCAGCAGCAGCAGCAGCAGGCCACGGCACACAAGCCTGCGGTGTACATACACCTGAAGAGGGACTGCAGCAGCAACTTCAATTCACGCAGCAGCTGCGGGCCAGGCGGGGCTAAGCAGAAGCCAGAGAGTCAGCAGCAGCAGCAGCAGCAGCAGCAGCAGCAGCAGCAGCTAGAGGACGCATGTGGAACCCGCTGCTCCACTTCTGTTTGTGTCCAGGTGTCGACTATACGTGCATCAGGGGAAGCTGCCTTTGTGTGCGCTGCTGCTGCTGCTGCTGCTGCTGCTGCTGCGGACCTCCGCAGCGTGGCTGCTGCTGCTGCTGCACTCTGGGGGCACCAGGCAAAGGGGGGACTACAAGAAGCAAAAGAAAGAAATCGAGGAGCAGCAAAATGCCAATTGGAGACACAAGAGACTCATTTATGGCTCCCAAAGGGAATAGAGGACCACACGGCTGCTGTGAAGCAGCAGCAGCAGCAGCAGCAGCAGCAGCAGCAGCAGCAGCAGCTGAGGGTGTCTGTCGCCTTTGAGGGCTTCTCAGTCCGTGTCTTCGCCGCTCAACCAGCGCATGCAGCACAGCGCCGCTCGCCTTTCGGGGCTCTGCCTGCTGCTGCTGCTTCTGCTGCTGCTGCTGCTGCTGCAGCAGCAGAACGGCCTCTACCCAGCATCAGGAGCCTCAGAAGCAGCCCCTGGATGGCTGCGGAGCAGCAAAGGGAACTTTTGCTGCTGCTGGGGGGTGGCCTTAGGGCTGACTGCGGTGAAGCTGAGATCACTCTTGCTCCGCAGCAGCAGAGTCCCATTTGCTGCTTCAGACGCGTGAGCAGCAGCAGCAGCAGCAACTGCAGCAGCAGCAGCCCCCGCTGCAGCTGCAGCAGCAATGGCGGTTCTGCAGATTCAAAAACTGTCTCCCTTCGCAGCGTGAGTTCCTCATTAGCTGGCTCCTCCTGCTTATTGGGTGAAAGCAGCAGCAGCAGCAGCAACGGCAGCAGCAGCAGCAGCAGCAGCAGCAACAGGAGCACCACGGACGACCGTTGCTGCAGCGCCGCTGCGGAGGACTGGGGAAGACCCTCTCTGTTTTTGTCTCTGAAGGACTTCTGTCTCTTTACTCAACCAATAAACAGCCAGTGCCGAAGCATCGCCTGCCGCAGCAGCAGCAGCAGCAACAGCAGCAGCAGCAGCAGCAACAGCAGCAGCAGCAACAGCAGCAGCAGCAGCGACAGCAGCAGCAGCAGCGACAGCAAAGCCGAAGCATGGTTGCCCGTGTTAATGCCCGTTTCTTGCCACTTGATGGCGTCAGTGCCGCACGAGTGCCCAGCAGAAGCAGCAGCAGCAGCAGCAACCACTGCAGCAACAGCAGCAGCAGCAGCAGCAGCAGCGAGGAACCTGGCGAAGCCCCTCCGTGTTTCTGTCTCAATGCATGTGGAGCCCCTCGGCCTATCAGCCAGCCCCTTAATTGTTTCTTCACTTGCTGCCTTCTTTGCTGCAGCAGACAGCCAAGCACTTCTGCAGCAGCAGCAGCAGCAGCAGCGGAAGAAGCAGCAGCAGCAGCAGCAAGAGCCGGAGAGCGCGCTGCTGGTGGGACCCTGCGCTTCGTCACCGTGTGCAAGTGATCCTGCTGCGTCGTTTTTGCTTCCAGCAGCAGAAGCAGCAGCAGCAGCAGCAGCAGCAGCAGCACAAAGGCCAGAGGCAGCACATGCGCACCAGCCGCTTCCTTGTACCATCAGCAGCAGCATTAGCGCCGACAGCAGCAGCGACAGCAGCAGCGACAGCAGCAGCAGCGACAGCAGCAGCAGCAGCAGCGACAGCAGCAGCAGCAGCGACAGCAGCAGCAGCAGCGACAGCAGCAGCAGCAGCAGCGAGTGCTTCTATGACGCGTTTGACCCTGTTGAATTTGGCCTCTCTGATGACTCCCCTGTGGGGCCCCTTGCAGCAGCGCATGCAAATACAATGCATGCAAATACAATGCATGCAAGTATATTGCATGCAAGTTTGTTGCATGCAGACGCAGTGCATGCAGGCACATTGCATGCAAGCGGCATGCATGCAGAGGCACTGCATGCAGCTGCCGTGCATGCAGCTGCGCATGCAGACCTGCATGCAGGGGCAGTGCATGCATGCACTCCGCATGCAGCGCTGCATGTACTTGGGACTGGAGCTGCAGCAGGAGCTGCAGCAGGCGCTGCAGCAGGTGCTGCAGCAGGAGCCGCAGCAGGAGCTGCAGCAGGAGCCGCAGCAGGAGCTGCAGCAGGAGCTGCAGCAGGCGAGGCCCAGGGGGCCCCTGGGGGCCCCTGGGGGCCCCCCCCGATTGTGCCCTTTTTAGGGGGCCTTTGCTGCATCTGTGGGGTTTCTCTCGAAGTGGCGCAGGTCTTCTGCGTCCTTTGCTGCCCGCCCCACGACGCGCCCCAGCAGCAGCAGCAGCAGCAGCAGCAGCAGCAGCAGCAGCAGCAGCGGAGGCGCGCGCAGAGACTGTCTCCGCTGCTGCTGCGCGCTGAGGGCCTCGCCCTCTGCAGGCCCCTCCAGGGGGGCCCCCTGGCCTTCGCCTTTGCGGCGGACTGCAGGCGAGTGGCCTTGCGGCTGCAGCTCGCTAACGCACTGCAGCAGCAGCAGCAGCAGCAGCAGCAGCAGCAGCAGCAGCAGCAGCAGCAGCAGGGGGGGGGG